AGTCACATTACTCGTAGCCTCCTTCCCCACATCTTCACCCACCAGCACCAGAACCACCGGCTCTTCTCTGAACCACAGCTGCCCTCATTCCAACTCACTGTAAATCCTTGTGATCCCCCTGATGATGTTGGCCAAGGCGTCATCAAATCCCTTTACCGTCTCATTCATCTGGAAAAGTATCTTACCTGTCAGAGCGAAGTTTACTAGGCAATAAAACAGAAAACCATGAAAACATTGTTCAAAGCACCAAATTCTTAGCCTAAGGAAGTCCAGCGTTACTCAGGCTTGGGTCACGTGCCTTACTGTGCATCGCTCTGGGCTTCCTTTATTTTGCTTCTCATTATCTGCATGTGAAGGTGGATCAAACCATTACATGCATTTCTACCCTAAGGGAGATTTGGGTCTTTCAGTGGCTTGATCAGTGGATTCACACTTCCCTTTGAAACCTTCTTTCTGATATCAGTTCTATGAATGATAACTCCTTTATCTCTGGGGCATGATGAATTTTTACCCCACAACTGTTCGGGGCTCTCTGATTTCTTTATGTTTGATTCCAGAACTCTCTTCATTGGATTAGTAGCCTCTTGCCCTTTTTGGAGGGCCTTATGGTTTCAAACTTCTAGAAATCCTACCCTCACTTCTATTTTATTCATCCACAGCAGAGTAACTGGAAGTTTTTAAGGCTGGTCTCTCTTGGAGTAAAGTGTGGCTTCACTTGGCCATCAAGATAGTAGCTGTCTCTCTCTCTCTCTCTTTTTTTTTTTTTTAATATTTTTTATTGATTTTTTACAGAGAGGAAGGGAGAGAAATAGAGAGCTAGAAACGTCGATGAGAGAGAAACATCGACCAGCTGCCTCTTGCACACCCCCTACTGGGGATGTGCCCGCAACCAAGGTACATGCCCTTGACCGGAATCAAACCGGGGACCTTTCAGTCCGCAGACCAACGCTCTACCACTGAGCCAAACCGGTTTCGGCAGTAGCTGTCTCTTAACAGTGGCCCTTGTTGCAATGGCAGCCACCGCTTTCCTGAGCCTCTCTGTCTCAGGTTAACTCCTGCTGATGACTTAAGCTCTGTTCAACTGGACCCCATACACATGATTAGGTTCTCTATGATGTCCTCCCTCCAGTTGCCCCCTAGAACCTTCTCAAATTCTATCACTTCTATACATATTGTAAATACAATAGTTCCCAATAATGAAAACACAGGAAAGCTGCTTTTCAAATGTAGAGATAACATGAAAGAGGAATGAAAGCAAATGTTTGGAAGCCAAATCAAGAGTCAAAAAGATTTAAACAGTTGGGAATGACTTGCTAAAATAAATAGAATGGAATTTGAAGGATATATGAGTAGTCCCGAATTGCAGCTTGAAAAAAATCATGTCTTCAAGCTTAAGATTGAAGATACCTGCCATGCTTGCAGTTCATACTAGGATGGGTGTTGTGGTTGGAGATATAATTTGGCTGAGGAAGACCTCTGTGACCTGAGTGCTAGGAAAATGTGCTCTCAGGTGTATAATTAGCACTGTTCTGCCCTGATTGAGGAGGAAGTCCCAGGCCCTGGAAGCCTGTAGGCCTGATGCATTGTACTAGCATATTGATTTTGAAAAATTTGAAATGGAACCCCTTTGGGTGAGGCATGTACTCTCCAGTCTTATGCATTGATGTTCCTTCCTTGATTCCAAAGGCTCTGTGTGTGTGTGTGTGTGTGTGTGTGTGTCCTAACTCCTTTATAGAACTTCTCTTCTGGAGCATAGGGATCCATCCCAAGCCCACACTTTGAAAGGCACTAACAAACTGAAGGGGATCAAGAAGAGGGGGATCCAAATAGTAAAGGAATTAGATACCAGTTCATGTTGAAATAGTTGAGAGAACCATAGTTCTGTAGCCTGGAGAGTTGCCTTCAAATACCTGGAGGATTGTCATGTGGAAGAGGAGTTAGATTCAGTCCATCTCATGGAACATATATGAACTATGTGCCTTATGTCAGTCACTAGATCGAGAGGATACAGAGAAAAGCAAGTTGGTCTCTTCTTAGGGCCAAGTTTACCATAGAGCAGAGGAGATACAAAGAGATAGCTGTAAATAGTAAGACTCATTCTATGGTTCTTCAAAAGACAGAAATGAGGAGACCAATTTCAGCTTGGTTTAGAAAGGCTTTTCCTAACAATAAAAATGTTCTCCAAATAGCATGGGCTGTCTTGAAAATTTCTCACTCTTCAACTGCTGAGGATGAGCTAGAGGCGCTATGAATGGGGGTTGGCGTAAATTACTTTTCTACCTCTATTAGTGGAAGGTAAAAGAAAGCAAGACCACCGACTTGCTTTCTTTTACCTATCTAGAGAGAGTCATCATTGAGCCCACTGGCTGTACTCGGTGTCCTGGGCAGACCACATGGGAAAGAGTGTTGGGTTGCTGGGTTTCCACAGCGTTGAACTGCATTGTGTATTTGCCTCCTGTAAACATAAGAGCCAGCAGGCAGGGCTCAGCTCTTTTTCTGATTTGTGTACCTGGTAGAAGAATGTAGAGGCATATTTGGCAGATACACTCTTGTTGCTGGTTGCTTCTTTTGTTTGTTGGCTTGCATCAGGCTGTGAGATTCATGTCATTCCCTTTAAATGACACAGCACTTCATTTCCTGGGACAAGTATCCTAAGTAACGTCTATTCCCCGTGTCCTCCACCCTCCAGGATCCCAGAAACATCCAGAGATCAGCTGCCAAGACGGGAGATTCCTACTTCTTCCCCTTTGATGGCAGAACTCTTAAAATAATTCGTATTCCTATTGATTTGTCCCTAGAGATTCCTCAGCCCTGGAAAGGGTGTAAGTCACATTTTGGCTGCAGGCAGAAGGCGAAAGCAGGTAAAGACAGCTTTTGAAAGTAGGCAAGACGTTTTGGCAGCAGCATTCTCATCCTGTCTGCTTTCTGCTTCCCCATCACCATCATCATCAACTCTCACTTCCCGACTGTCTAGCAATTGTAAGGAACGCAGACATGGTCTCTTTTTCTTGGCAGGCACGTTCTGAGGTTCAGAAAGGCAGATACTATCTGGATTTGGCATGTCTTTGCAATTTTTACTTGCTTGACCCTAGGTTAGCCCTTTGGGACATTTCTCTTCAGAAATCACCTGGAAGATGTGGAAACAAGGTGTATATAGTAGGTTATGGGGAGCAACCTGCCACCCACCTCCCCAGACTGCCATCATTGCTCTGTGCAAAGGAGACAGGCCATCTTTTCTTCAAAAGTTTGGAGCCAGAACTACATGTGACACCCCACAGCTGCTGTGGCCACAGGGTGTGTGGACAGGCGTCCTGGCAGACACTCTTGCCTTCCAGGAATTCTCTTCCCTGGGTGAATGAGAGTTGAGCCAGCCTCAGGCTTCCCCCATACCTTCAGATGGAGTGGGCTCATCAGCCAAACCACCTGCCTCCTGCTGCCCCAGGGCCCCTGGAATCTCCAGAGTAACAGTCAGAGGGTGGAGGCTCTCAGCCCTGACAGCCAGTTAATTACACTTGGAGGCTTAAAAAAATGCTGGTGCATGGACCCCATTCTGCAGAGGTAATTTTTTAAAAGCAGCTTTACAGGTTTCATATATCACCCAGCTCACTCACTTGGAGTGTACAACTCAATTAGTTTTAGTAAATTTGGACTTGTAGGATCAGTACCACAGTTTTAGGACATTTTCAGCAGTCAGTCTCCATTTCTCTCCAGCTTCCCCAGCCCTAGGCAACCAGCCACCAAAATCCACTTTCTGTCACCATAATTCTGCCTATTTCTGGACACTTCGTATAAATGGAATCACACAATAGGTGGTCCTTTGGGAGTGGCCTCTCTCACTTAGTACAGTGTTTTCAAGGTTTGTCTGCATTACCAGGGATCAGTATTTTCTTCCTTTTTATTGCCAAATAGCATTCCATTTTATGAAGGTACTGAATTTTGTTTACTCGCTCGTCAGCTGATGGACTTCTGGGTTGATTCACACTTTTTAGCCGGGATGAATAAATGCTGCTCAAAAACAATGTGCAGAGGTTTTTGTGTAAACATATGATTCATTCCTCCTGGGAACATACCTGGACATGGAATTGCTGGCCCTACGGGAACTTTATGTCTAACCTAGTGGAGACCTTCCAGGCATTTTCCAAAGCCGCTACACCATTTCACAGAGGTATTTCATAAAAGCTCTCCGTGATGATTCTAGATGTGATCGCAGTGTGCCGCCAGGGGGATAAGAACCCTCTCTCTGCCTCACTGGAAAGTAAAATAACTGTAGAACAGATATCATTTTTTTCCTGGAGGAGAGAATAAATTTAGAGCAGAACATTCACCTCTTCCAAGTGATTCCTTTTCAACATTCCGCATCCCTCAGTTAACCTGAGCACCGACGAGGGGACTAGGCAGTCTACTGCTGGAGGAAGATTATGTGGTGTCTGCCTTTGGCATGGGTCGGCTGCCAAAAGTTAAGTTGATCTGGAAAACTGATTTCTAGGTTAAGTGGAGCAGGGCCACAGTTGTGTCACCCCCACTTCTGAGGATGTGACATCTCTTCTCCTTGTGTCATCACTTTCTTGGCGCTATCTGGTGAAAACTGAGTCATGAGGTGCCAACAAACATCCATTGCACTTGATGTGAACTTGAGGCATCTGCTCATTCCTGAGATATTTGCAGCTGTCAGCCCTGCCATCTAGAGGGTAAACAGCGTGCTGGGGATGAACTCCTGCCACGGTGACTGTTCCCGGCTTGTCTGAGAGAGGCAGAGCCCCAGACGGTGCAGAGCCTCTGTGAGAATCTGAGTGTGAGGGAGGGCTGCGTGGTGGTGACACCAGGATTGAGCAACCCCGCCCTTCGCAAAACCTTACTTCCAAAGTAGTCCCGATGGAGGGAGGCAGAAACCAGCTGCTGTCCTGTGAGCTTTAAAAACCATTCCTTCTGCTGCAGATGCACATTTCCAATGGTGCCTCTGGACCAACCAGAGCCTTGTTCTCTCTTCTTTGTGTCTGCAGCCACGGCACAGGGTATGAGAGCGATAACCACACTACGCCCATCCTCTGTGGTGCCCAGTACAGAATACATACCCACGGCGTCTTCAGGGGCATTCAGGTGAGTACTTGGGGCCCCGGGTGGAAGTGGACGTCATGGCCTTTTTCTCTTCTCAACATCCACCCTCTCCCTTCCTAGCTGATGGCCATTTGATCCTAGCAAGTCTCTTCCTAATTGTATGCTCCTGGGACAGCAGGGACCCCTCCTCTTCCAGAGGGCAGATAGGGCAGCTTCCTTCCCTCCAGAGGCCAGCGTGAAAGGGGTTGCCTCTCTGGCTCAGGCCAAGATGCTTCCCATTTCATGGTTTAATTCGCCTTCTCCACAGTGGACTGCGCAGCTCTTATATTTGGGGCTAAAAGGACTTAAATGAGTGGCCTGCCTTTGATTTGATCTGCAATGTAAAGTGACCAAAGGTAGACTCTGTCTTGCCAAGTGTTGCTAATAAATAACAGCAACATCAATAACTGCACCACCTGTGGTTGGACTCTTTGCATATGCCAGGCATTGTGCTAAGTTTTTAAAAAAATAGACTTAATTTTTTTACAACCATGTTTTAGTTTCAAGGGAAAATTGTGCAGAAAGTACAGAGAGTTCCCATATCTTCCCTCTCCCCTGCTTCTCCCCTGACATAGTATCTATGATTATTAATATCTTGCTTTGGTATGGTGCATTTGTTACAATGGATGAGCTCATAGTGACACGTTATTGTTAACCAAAGTCTATAGTTCACATTAGGGTTCACGTTTTGTGCTGGGTGGTTCTGCGGGTTTTGTTAAATGCATAATGCTGTGCACTCACCATTGTAATATCACACAGAGCAGTTTCACTGCCTAAAAATGCCCTATGTTCTACCTGCTCATCTCTCCCCTCTCTCCTGCCCCCATAACCACTGATCTTTTCACTGTCTATAGTTTTGCCTTTTCCCAGAGTGTCATGTAGTTGGAATCACATAGTACTTAGTTTTTGCAGAGTGGCTCCTTTCACTTAGTAATACACATTTAAGCTTCTTCCATGTCTATACATTGACCCCTCCCCCTCCATTTAACCTTCAGCACACCTCTATGTGGTAGGTACTATTATAAGCTACATTTTATAGGTAAGGAAACTGAAGCCTGGAGGAGATGAATGGCTTGTCCAAAACCACATAGCTGGTAAGAGGTTGAGCAGAGACTTACAACACGACTTGTCTGACTCCAAAAACCCTGTTTTTAACCACCTCCGTATACTGCCTCCGAGGGAGACAGAAGGCTGTGAACAGTGTGAGGGAGGAGGGTGTCTCCAGAGAGAATGAAGGGGAGCTTGCCTCACTGTTTTCTTCTAGGGCTTTCTCAGGTGGGACTGACCGTACACGTACACTCACAAGATAAAGGGGATCCACATACTGCCCTATGAGAATGTGTATGGTGCACAGAGGGCAGGCCCAGTGTTTTCTGGGGTCGCCATGAAAGCACTGCACATGCAGCCACTGGCTTCAGCTCCCTTTCACAAACAGCACCCACAGATCTCAGGGGATCCTCTCTTCCTTGTCATTTACTCACACATGGGAGGTCTGGTTAGTTGGAACTCATCTGTATCCCGCATGCCTCTCTAATAAGGACGTTCCCACCCATTGCAAATTGGGCCCTGGTCTTGTGGCCAGGCGTCCATGTGGGAGGGAATGGAATACAATCTGGGACTTTGGCTTCCAAACCTCACCACATCTAGTGGAGAAGCGGATAGAAAGGCTGGACCAGAAGCTCTTCCAGTCACCAGCATTTCTTTCCCAGATACTCTGGATCAGCAACCCCAAACAGACTTCAAGTACTGGTTCTGGCTGGTCAGTATTGATGACCTTAGAGCACCTCATTGTAGAGCACTGATCCGTCATCCATTAGTGATGTCTACTGTGGGCATCTAGTGTGTGAAGGGAAGCGATTTTAGGCCTCGGCCCTGCCATCTCTTCTTTGATTTCAATGCGCGATTTCCCTGCAGACCTGGCACGCATGCTCACATGTGGCTAAAGCCTGCATTCTCTTACACTCTGCTTGCAGGATGTGCGGCGAGTGCCTGGAGTAGCCCCGACTCTTGTCCGGTCAGCATCTGAGACCAGTGAGAAGCGCCCCTTCATGTGTGCTTACCCCGGCTGCAATAAGAGATATTTTAAGCTGTCCCACTTACAGATGCATAGCCGGAAGCACACTGGTAAGTGTGTCACGGACCAGCGTTGGTTCGGTGACCTCTGGGGAGGGCTGGTTCCGGAGCTCCTGCTCCTGGGTCTCACACCGCTAAGGACCCAGGTGATTGCTGGGATGGGCAGCAGGCACTACTTTGAAAGTTCTGGCTCAGATGACAGAAAAAGGCTGCAGTGCCATTTTGCATCCTATTGTCCATCCTTTAATGAAGAAGTCAGTAAGCTGTCTTCAGGAAGGGCTGAGCAGAGTGGTGGAAAGAGAATCACATAGAATTAAAGAGTCTGGTGTTTGAATTCTGGCTTCATCACCAAGTGGTGAAAGTTACTTAACTTCTCTTAACCTCATTTGCTTCATGTGAAAAATGGAGATCATAATGCCTACCTTAAATAATTGTTAAAAACATGAAATTTCAACATTAAATTGGATTAAAGAAATTACAGGCATGAGACACCAAGTGCATTACCCTATGCCAACAGGTCTGAATAAGTGATAGTGTTACTATTAGAATACTATTAGCAACTCTAAAGGGAGAGGAGCTAGTCTAGGGGTTTGGTAATCAGACAATTTTGAGAGCTTAATGGGCAAGGTTATCCCAAGGTTAGAAAGAGATGGTTCAAAGACAAACTTAACTGCTTGGGTTAATAATCAACCAGATGAGAATGGGAAAATGGATTGTAGGTTTAATTTTTGTTTTCAGTCTTAAAAAAAAAAGATGGTGATTTTTGATGATGTGTCTAGGAAAACTTGATTTTTCCCCACAGGTCCGCCTCTGGGAAAGAGTCCTTGTGTGGTTGTTGGACACCTCAAATGTGAACAGCCGTTTTACAAACATTTGCCTTGGCCTGTAGTTGGAGTGAGGTTGGGTCTCCCCTATAAGGAAAGGGGGAAGGGCAGGCTTTTCCACAGGGCAGCTGGTACCATATTTTTTCATTTAAAATTTTTTTTAAAATAGAGAGAGAGAGAGAGAGAGAGAGAGAAGGAGAAACATCGATGTGAGTGAGAAACATTGACTGGTACTTCCCACATGCATCCTGACCAGGGATCACAACCTGGATATGTGCCTTGACCAGGAATCGAACTTGCAACCTTTTGGTGTATGGGATGATGCTCCAACAATCTGAGCTCCACTGACCGGGGCATTCTTAACACATTTGAAAGACAGCTTTGTGGTGACGATAAGCATCATTATTTAATATTACTGTCGAGGTTGCTTAGGGGAAGCTAGAGAAGAAAAGGATCTGCTTTGGGATCTCTAGACCATTGGATGCTGCTACGTCATTGCATGTGGAGGATGCAGTTCCTGCATAAACCTGACTTTGCACTCAGTGCACCCCACTGGCTTTGAGGCTAAAGATGAGAAAACCGGCGGCATGTTCTGTTTTTACATAGTTTCCTAAATGGATTAAATGGGATCATGTGGAAAGTAAATGTTAAGGTTAGAAGGGGTATGAAGTAAAACTCTGCTTGGAATAGTGCAAAGGAACATATTCAAGACTAGTATACAGTTGTAGAAACTCTTAACGGAAAAGAAATACTTAGAAAACAATGAGGGTTCAGTGTCTGTGTGAAGGGAAGACAGTAGACAAGATCGCCAAGAGTATCAGACCTGCTAGGGCAGGCTGATATGGAACAATTGTGTGGCCCCTTCTTAAAAGAGTTGTAATAACAGTGCAGAGTATAATATTAAGTAATTCTATTTTAAATGCTTTCTGTGTGTCAGGCTCTTTACATGCATTATTTCATTTAATCCTCACACATATGACAATTATCAGGTGAGTAGGATACAGCGGAAGCAGAACTCAAACTCATGCCTTTTAATTCCAAGTCACAAGCCCCCAGTTCAAAGGGTGTAAGGTCTAGTTTGGATCTAGGACATATACAGATGAAAAGGAACTAAGAGAGCACATGATAATGTACTAAACCAGAGGCTGGAGGAGTGGGAAAGGTTGTTCAAAGAGTATCCACTTGAGCTAGGGTCAAGGAGGTTTCTTGGAGGAGGATGGGTGTGGGCTGACCATCAAGGTTAAGGTCGGGCAGAAAAAGGAAAAAACAGGAGCAGAAGCAGAAAGGCAGGGAAAGGAAATGAGACCAGAAAGTGGTATTGTCCTCCCCAATTGTGGAGGTAAAGCTAAGCCACTGGGCTGGGGACAAGTAGCAAGTGAAGGAAAGGCTCCTGCCCGCAGGAATTTCCAGCTGGTGGGAGAAGGCAGACCTGGGCACAGCCCACCACGTTCGATGTTCTGTAATAAATTCTGTAAGGAGCGAAGGAAGGGCTTTCAGTCTGCACGTGGTGTTCCCAGGAAGGATCACAGAACAGGCATTTGTGTGAGGCAGACTTCAGGAATGGTGAACTCTGGTATAGCAGGGATACAGATTACTCAGGGGAGAGAGAGGAGGTTATGGGGCTGGAAAGGTAACTAGGGACTGCCCTGCAACGGAAAGACCCTACAGAGCCCTGGGGGCAGGGGGGGGGGGGAGTGAGGGCGCGCGACTTGCTCTCCATTCCAGAGCTCCATCCCAGAATGTGGGTGATTCAGAATTCTCATACGAAGGTGGAAAGACCCGAGGTTGCTGAGTGCACTCTTGGGGCTCAGCTCCCAGGGTTTGGCTGAACTTTCTCGAGCGAGGACAGGGTGGGGCTTCTCCATTCTGAGACGGGAGGTTGTGTAACCCCACGACTGACTTCTCTCTGATAAAGGGAATAGCACAATCTTCCTAAGCTCCTGGTTTTACATGAGTGTCTCACAACCATGGAACTGTTTATTCTTGACTCAGGAATGAGAAATCAGTAGCAGAGAACACCAGATTTTCAGGCCATAAAATTCGGAGCCTGCTCCAAGGCACGGCCACCCCAGGATTCTGTCTCAAACTCAGTCTAGGAGTCAAGATTTCTCTTGTTTATTATTTGTCTGAATATTCTCTGCCAGTGATTTTGGAGCAAACTTCTTTGCTAGGTACTGGGCTAAGCCCTTTATGTAGATGGTCTGGTTTAGTCAGTTTATAAATCCTCGGAAGATGTCAGATTATTGACCCCATTTCACAATAAGGAAACGGCACCTCACCCAGCCCTTTAAGTGTCAGAGTGGGATGTGACCCTGGTCTCAGACTCCAGAGCCTGGGATTCTGTTCACTTCTTTCTGGGAGATGAGGGACCATCCTCATTCACCTCCCCTTTCCCCCAAGTCTGCAGTCACTGACAGTGAGCCCACGGATAGGTGGGCCTTCAACCACACTCTGCGTTTGGCAAGGCCACACTAACATGCTCCACCGAAGGTGCCTGAGACACTTGGGGATCCCTTCAGTCCCAAGCGGAGAGGTTGCCTTCAATGAGATCCCCACTTCCAGTATCATTTTCAAATGGAGTCTGTGTCTTCCCCCAAGGTGAGAAACCATACCAGTGTGACTTCAAGGACTGTGAGCGAAGGTTTTCTCGTTCAGACCAGCTCAAAAGACACCAAAGGAGACACACAGGTTTGTAGGTTCACTTCTCGTTGCCGGCAGTGTGTTCCCTTGCATTACAGTTGACGTTGTGATTCTTTGTTGTTAAATGTGGATGTGAGAGGGTCAGCCAATTGTTTCATTTACCAAATTTTTCTAATTACTGGGGATTTTCCTTCTCTTAAAAAAAAAGAGAGAGAGAGAGAGAGAGAGAGAGAGAGAGAGAGAGAGAGAGAGAGAGAGAGAAGAAGAGAAGGAAGAAAGAAAGAAAGAGAGAGAAAGAGAGAAAAAAAGAAAGAAGCACCCCATATTTATCATGGAGACCACAGAACAATGAGATTCCAGTAGCTACTTGCTGATGGAATCTCATTTTTACCGAGCACCAGTAAAGATCATGGGTGGTGGAGACTGGAATCCCATCTGTAGTGTATGATCCTCTTTTTCAGTCTTGGACAGAGTTGAGACCTTGGTCAGAAAGCTGGACATCTGTGGTTAAGGAATAATTGTTCTCAAGAGCAGAAGCAGGTCTCCCAGGGTTATGCACAGAATCGGGTGGTTCATGCTGGGCCTGGGGAAAATCTGAGGGTGAGGCAGATGCTGTAGGCATGGCTGGATATGCCCGGCTCCTCCGGCCTCTGGGAAGCAGGCCTTGTGGGCCTCGTCATGCCCCCACGTTGGTAGTGCTGCGGTTAGACCTTCTCTGTCCGTCTAGGTGTGAAACCATTCCAGTGTAAAACTTGTCAGCGAAAGTTCTCCCGGTCCGACCACCTGAAGACCCACACCAGGACTCATACAGGTAAAACAAGTGCGTAAACTTTTCTTCACATTTATTTTTCATTATTTTTTAAACTACTGTTGAATGAAGTTGTTTATGATGAGAGAGATTGGAAAAGACTAGTGTAAAAACGGTTCTAAACAGGTTTAGGCTCAGATGAGAGAAAGAACATTCTATGGCTATCTTTAAACAGTAACATTGTTTAAGAAGGGGCTGGGGATTGATACAGAATAGAAGAAATATGTGAAAAGAACTTTTCATGAGTGTCCAGAATAAAAAATGAAGAGATAACTTAGGTCCCTCTGTTCCCAATTTGTTTCATCGTATTTTTCTTATCACTCAGCTTGATAGGATAATCAACCTCACAGAAGAACAACAGAAATTCTAGCAAGCTAAACATTTATTCTCTGAAAGTTCATGTTTCATGACACTATTTTCAGAGATTGGAATTCCTTTTCTGCTAAAAGTCAGTGCCCCGGGAGCTGCCATGGTTTCTGCCAGACTCACATCAGCGTGTGGATATTATTTCCTTTGTACTAGTCTAGAGAAGGGGACTATAGCATTTATTCACTGATTGTTGAAGGCTTTTGCTTCTCCCTAAGACTGGTGTGATTCAGAATGAAAACGGCACCGTGTTTGTTAACTTTAGAAGGAGGGCCGATGTCTAGGTTATCTACCTTATCTTAACATCATCCTTGTAAGAAGAGTAAGGCAAACGTGTTTTACCCCATTTTATAGATGAGGGGACTGAGGCACGTAGTGAATAAATGACTTGTGTAAAGTCCTAAAGCTAGTAAGTAGCAAACCCAGTTTTACCTGCTCCCAGCCCTCCATATGCCTTCTTTGTTGGAGAAAAGTTTGGGGGATTGGGGTTTATCTCACCACACATGGAGGAAAGAGAATCAAATAGAAAGTTAGCAAAGTTGAATACCACTGATATACTGAGGAGAATGAAGACAGCAAGAGAAAGGGTTGGACAGGACTTTGGCTGCATGGCTGGGGGTGGGGAGCAGAAGCAGGAGCCAGATTAAAAAAGAGCACAGGAACAGTGAGCGGGAGGTAAAGGAAGGCATGACGTCATGAGCCCCTCCTGCAGTCCCGGATTTTCAACCCAAACAGGCTGCATTTACAGACAGAGTCAAGGCACCTGTGCCCAGAGTTGGTGGGATGGGCATCTCGTTGGCCCTACTCGGATGCCTTTGGTGTTGCTTCTTTGCCTTAGTCCTGAGCTCATAATTCGGTGGGAAAGAGTTTCTATTCCTTGTACTCCAACCTCCAAACCTGTGCGTATCTGCATATGTGCTCGTGACCTAGGTTACTAGTAGACTGTTTAATGCTATACTTGATGGGCCCCCAGCACTGACCCTGTGTAGCACCTCCCCTGGGACATTTCTCATTGCTTGTCCTGACCAGTAGTTCCCAGAGAAGGCCAAGTGGGACCAGTGTTATTGTGAGAAGATCCCCTAGGTGGTGCAAGGGTTTGACGTCTGTGGCATTTGTACTTGGTTTGAAGTCACAGCTTTAAACTTTGCATTATGGCTAGGCCCAAGAGGTGGGGTACAGCAAAGTGCATGGGTTTTGAAATTAGACTGATCTGAAATGGAATTTTGCCAGGGTCTGCCTTGCCTAGATGTTCACCGTCATCTGTAGAGTGGGGATAACAACATTTCCCTTACAGAGCTGTTCTAAGGAGTACATGAGGCAAGTTGTATATATACTAGTATATATACTAGAGGCCCAGTGCACGAATTCGTGCAGGGTGGGATCCCTTGAGTTGGCTGGGAGTTGGGGCCAATGGAGGCATCTTTCCCAGTCCTGATCTGGGCAGCAAGAAGTTCCGATCAGGGTGATCTGGGCCGGCCAGCTGTGGGGAGAAGGCTGCAGGGAGCACACTGACCACCAGGGGGCAGATCCTGCATTGAATGTCTGTCCCCTGGTGGTCAGTGTGTGTCATAGTGCTTGGTCGACCAATCATTCTGGTCATTCATTTGTAACAGTCATTTATTGTTGCGATTGCCAGCACAAAGCTTGGCATACATTAGGCACTTGATGAAAGCTAATTATCTTACCTGTACAGAATGAGGCTTGGAAAGAACTTCTGAGGGTGCCTTAGATGGAGAAGGCTTGATCTTTTGGCAGGCATGTTAACAATCTCAGAACTATGCCTCAACTAGAATTTTCTGTGTAACAGAATTATGCTCTGAGTAACACTTTAAGGGAATAGAAGCACACTAGTATCAGTGACTTATTTAAAAATACTCAGCCTGTCCAGAATCTCTATCTACACAGAGATAGGAAAGCTGCAGTCACAGCTCTACTGCTGGATGGCAATTAATCAGTAACATCCAGAGTGCCGATCCTGAGGCCCTGCTTACACAGTTCGTAAAACAGTCTAACAGAAGAGGTTGAAATTAGTGTTCCTCCCACCTTCATTTTATATGATTACCCATGCATTTCCTATCATAGTCTCTCATTTCCCAAGTCTTCTGAGTTAATAATTCTATATAATAAAAGGCTAATATGCAAATCTACTGAATGGCAGAACAACCAGTCTCTATGACGTGCACTGATCACCAGGGGGCAGATGCTCAATGCAGGAGCTGCTCCCTGGTGGTCAGTGTGCTCCCATAGGGGGAGCACCACTCAGCCAGAAGCCAGGCTCACAGCTGGTGAGCACAGTGATCCTGGCTGGAACCTCTCCATCCTCCAAGGCAGCTGGACATCCCCCGAGAGCTCCTGGACTGCAAGAGGGCAAAGGCCAGGCTGAGGGACCCTTCCCCAAGTGCACAAATTTCATACACCAGGCCTCTAATATTTTATAATTTGCTACAGTATTTTAGCTCAGAGCTGCCCATGAAGTGAGCCTGGCGCGTTAGCTTAGGGTCAAAACTAGAGGGAATCCGGAGTGGGTGCCTTGTGGCATTAACTCAAGCCTTTGAGAGTTAAATATACACCATGTTTTCCGCTGCAAGTATCTGACTGGCAATTGTGTCAACAGGTGAAAAGCCCTTCAGCTGTCGGTGGCCCAGTTGTCAGAAAAAGTTCGCCCGGTCAGACGAATTAGTCCGCCATCACAACATGCACCAGAGAAACATGACCAAGCTCCAGCTGGCACTTTGAGGGGTCCAACAGCCCGGAGACAGGGCTGCGTCCCAGGCAGGACAGTGTGGGAACTTCTTTCCAACCTGACTTTAAAATTCCTCCTTACTCACCTCTCTAAGAAGGAAATGGCAGTTCGCCGCCTTCATCCAGCTTCCAAGACAAGATGCGTGTACTACTGGATCCTGCCAGGTTTCCCCAGAGAAGGTGGCCTCCACTCTGCCAACTTATAGTTGACTCACAAGGCCCCGGAGAGGTGGCTGACGACGTCCATCACCCTATGGTCTGGATTTCCCAGCGTAAGAAGAGCCATTGTTGAGAAGGTTCCCCCGCCCTCTTCTTCTCCGCTCATTTTCACTGGGAATGGAGTCATTGTACCATTTTCCATCATAGAATATTTATAGGCCAGGGCATGCGTATGTGTCTGCTAATGTAAACTTTGTCATGGTTTCCATTTACTAACAGCAATAGCAAGAAATAAATCAGAGAGCAGGGCCCTGGGGGTGAGACCCGTCCGACAGTGCAGAGGTTAGGCAGGTTGCACACTGCCAGGCAATTTTTAAAGCCCGTGTGTTTCAAGCAGCTTGGTGGGGGTGGGGGGGGGGGGGGAGGGTTGGAGAATCAAAACTAACCAGCAACTCTGTAGAGAAATATGAAAGAATATTAACTTTCAGTTAATTCATTGTTAACATTAACACAGTGCTCTGAAAACACCGTGCTTGAAGATCTGAGATTTTGGTTTTGTGTTCATTTTTTACTTTTTGAATTGTAATCATACACGTCTTCAGAGATGTACATATATCCTCCACAAAGGAAGTGGAATTCATTTTTATCTTGTGGGGTGCCCTTAGAGTCCTTCAAGTGTACAGGCCACACCGGTTATTTGGCTTCAAGTTGTAAAAATTAAAGCAACTCCAAAAGAAATGGGGTTGATCCGGGATCTCACTGATAAGACTGTTCTTAAGTAACTTAAGTAACTTTGGGTCTACAAGTATATGTGCAAAAAATGATACTTAACTAGGGTGAGGAAATCCATTGTTTAAAAGGTAATTGGGTGTGTGTGTGTGATTTTTTTTTTCTTCTGGATTTTTAAGGGAGGGAGTTTATTATTTACTGTTGCTTGAAATTATCGTGTAAATATATCTATCTGATCATGATTTGCTCTTTGACAACTGAAGTTAGGAAATGTATAAACGTTAGATGCATCACTGTCTTGGTGTTGATCTTACAACGTATGGATAACACTAAACATGTAACCTGCATTTTTTTTCCCACTTCGCTCTCAATTAAAGTCTCTTCAAAAGGAAAGTGGCAAGATTCTATCAGCCCTCTGGAGCTCAAATCTTTAAGCCTCTTTTAAATAGGCAAGAAGATAACTGCCGACATTGATGACCCAGGTCCCCGACCACTATTGATTTCCTCCTGTGGAAACGCGGGAGGCTGTTATCCCTCAGAGAGGCAGCCAGAGAGGCCCCTCTTCTGATCGCATCTTAAAGGGACTGCGTGGGAGCTGGCTGAATGGGCTTGTGGACAGCGTGGTGGGGATTGTGCTTTAGGGGTCATTTTAATCAGGCCATCGCTTTTTCCAGGTCGGCAAAAGAGAATAGAGAGATATTAACGATTATGAGTCCTTTTTTAAAAGTTCACAATCACACACTTCCATCAGGAGGGCATCAGCTGAACACCTAGTTCAAGTGAATTTACCGCTACAGTTGCCGTAAATCAGCTCAGCAGGTTGAAAACCGCTTAGACTTTCCAGGGCGGCCAAGTGTGAAAGCCAAGATCTACATTATCTATAAACTATAAACTGTCCTTCCGGTTCTGGTGTATGGTTTTCCAGTTGTAAATAAGGAGATTAATTTGGTGTCGCCTTCTCAGCTCCATTATCTCGGAGTTTGCACGCATTCCGCATTCCGGGGGGTGGGGGGGTTTCATTTCTCCCTTTTAAATATATATTGAGCAGCCCTTGGCTGAGCCACGGAGACTTGTTTTCTGCGTTGAAGTGCGCTCAAAGTTATGGCCGCTTAAAAGGCAGGTCCTGAGGCCCCTCTTAGTTTGCATCTGGCTCTTGCATCACTGTTAATTATAGCGAGTACGGTGACTCATCTGTATCAGCCCTTTTTATCTTTTCCTGCCAGAAGACAGCATTTCTCTGGAGAAGCTCAGGACAAGCAAACGTCAGCCAGTCCAAGGGAGCCAGGTTTCACAACAAAAGCAGAGTCATACTGTTTCAGCAGCACCAGGAAGACCAGCATTTCTCACACTCCCCTAGCAGTTTAGCTTGCAGTTAAGGTCATGGGCTTTGGAAAGCAGACCAACCTGGGTTCTAATCCTAAATTCCCCATTTCCTCATCTGTAATGTAGGGATAAAAGAGTCCCCTGCTTCATAGGGTCAGAGTGAGGATTAAATGGGCGCGGGGAGGTATGAAGACATCTAGTACACAGCAAAGGCATAAGAAATATTACCTAGGAAACCGATTATCCACCTGCTGATTTTCTTTACCTCCCACTCCCCCAGGCATTGCCTTGCAGTGTCCAGACATCTTCACAGGTCTGCTCTGCAAGGTAAACAAGCAACTCCATTTCGATATACCCCAAGCCAGAATCAAGGTATGTAGCAATAGGGCTCTTGCCAGCCTCCGCACAGAGAGAGACTGCCTCCACCTGCTTCCTGGTTTCAGTAAAACACCTGGTGGTATTGAGTGTGTGTTTCTGAGACCCATGTTGTTGATCGATCATTAGCAGGCTGTCAGGATGAAAGTTGGTCAGTAGAAGCTCTATATTTAGCCTGGGCTAGAGACTATATATTTGGCGCAGTTGTCAAAATGCACATTTTCCCATCTTTACTATAATGGCAGTTTCAGGGTATGATTGGATATTTTTAAGAGGCTATCTCCAGCCTCCCTTTTCTGTCCTTCAAGGATATTTTCAGACAATTCTAGCTGTCCCTAGTCCTCATCTCTGAATTTCTGTAGCCCTCAGAGTTCTAGCATGTAATGTTGGTTTGCACACATGGCCGTATTGTTTTCCCATCTGGGACAATCTGTAAGCTGGATAGAACAAGTATTATTCCCACTTTACAGCCGAAACAGCTGAGGTTCAGTGATAGTAAGAGGCTGAGGCAGGACTTGGTCCTGGTGTTCTGCCCTCAAGTTTCCTTCTGAAGCGTGCTTGATGATTTGATGTGCTCCATTGTTCCATATCTATGAGTCATATCTTCCCAACCAGAGTGTGAGCTCCCAGAGGGAAGGAGCAGACCTTTTCCCTTTCCCGAGTTACTAACATCAGGGCTTCTCAACCTTAATAGTCATAGACATTCCCTGAGGAATTGGTTAAAGTGCAGACTCAGATTCAGAACTTCCGGGGCCCAGCCTGAGATTGTGCTTTTCTAACCAGCTCCCAGGAGATTCCCACCCTGTTGGCCTATGGCCCATACTTTACGTAGCAAGGACCTGAAAGGTGGGCTCATAAATACATGCTGAAAGGTGACTGATGGGATTTGTACTTGACATTCCTGAGCTGCACTGAGCCTTTTCAGAATGGTCAGCGCAGATAGCCTGGGGTCCTGCCTTGATGGTTCATGGGGCTGTGGGTCAAAACATTCATGCTGAATGCAGTCAGAACTGCACGAGTTAGCCCAGGCGAATCCACCCATGAGGTTTATTTTCAAACACAGTCTGCCCCATCCTCCGTCAGTGACTTGTCACAAGCAAGGGAGACCTCCCCAGGTACCATAAGGTGTGGAGCATGGTCACACCTGCATATTTAGTCTTTGTGCCTCATTCAGTCCACATCTCAATAATAGGCCTCTACCTCTCTGACACCCGCACACTGAAATGTTACGGCTTTGGGGACTATTTAGTCCCTGTGAGCTGGCAGCAGGAATTCCCACATCTTGCTTAGCTCTCTTGGGTGCTGAAGGGCAAAGGCAATGACTTATAGAGCCATGTTCTCCCTGCTGGGTGTTTGCACCTCTGATCTTGGGCTAACAGGTGTGTGTATATATAGAACAGTGAGTGGTTATTAACCAGGGGCACTTTTCTTCAAGCCTACCAGCAGGCAAAGTGGCTTTTCTCACAGGTAAATGTAGGAATTTCTCACAGGTAAATGTATAAGAACCCCAGTAAGGGAAACCAATCCCTAAGAAAACATGAAGGTCTTGACTCTTTGCAGGCAAGTCTTTGCTTCTAGTCTATTTATCAAGTGATTGAAACTCTGTGCAAGAACTAATAAGTCCATTGAAATGCTCAGGATGACAACGACCGCATCTGGTCCGATTCCTTACACTAAGGAGAAAGTAGTTGCTTCAGTGGCGAGCTCTGGGCTTTTCTCGATTTTTTTCAAGCAAAATCTTGATCCTGCTAGTTTTTAAGACTGGCCTTGGGAAGGAAAGAAAGAGCCAAGGAAAGGTGGTCTCTGAGAAGGCTGGATCAGGCAGCAGACAGCCATCCACAGTCATGCCCTCCAAAAAACGGAGTTCAGAGACTGGTGAGGGGATGGGACACACTCCCGAGGTTTGAGACTCTGCAAAGTCAGTGCCTTTCAGCACAATCTGAAGATCAGCCAGCTATTAGTGGAAGCCTCAGACAGGAAGATCTCAGATGGAAGCAGCTAAGGCAGCACACATTATCAAATGTGAGTTTAGGAGATAATGAGATGTTTTTATGGAGCAGGGGAGGATTGAAGGATGGACCAGGGAATGGGGCTGAGATAAATGTAGAGGGTGCGTTGGTTGAAACAAGTGGCTTCTCCCCCTCACAGCATCCCAGGAGCATTGGTGATGTTGACACTGAGCGAGAAGGATTGCCTGACATGGCAGGGATTCCGAGGGCCACTGAGGAGGCAGTTGGACTCCAGGAGAGAGAGGAAGGAGGGATGGAAAAAGGGAGACTACTTTGGGAAGAAACACGAGGCAGATGAGGAATGGAGTGCGGATGTCAGGGAGGTCTGACAGGAAGAGGGGGCTTCTGTCTGATAGGGCCTGACCCCCATGTGAACCCACACCAGCTCTGTGAACACACACGCAGGGCTGTCCCGAATAGGAGATGCTCAAGTGCTAGCATGAAAATGAAAAGAATGTGCATTTATTTGACCTATAGGTGCAGGCCAATGCCATTTTACATGAATTCTCTTCTTGAGAAAGATCCCATTTTACAGATGAAGAGGCTCATACCGCTCATGTATGCCAGAGTTGAGATTCTAACCCAATGCTGACTCAAAGCCCTCATTGTAGGGCATTTATGCCCATAGTCTCAGGGCACGTTGGCCCTGTGAACCAGAGGAGCAGGAATGCTGAGGGAATGCCTTATTGCCCACTTGCATGTTTGGATGCCAGGGATGTTTGTCAAGTGCCCAGAGAAAGGATAGACATGGTTGGCAAAATGTTCCCCCCTCCCATTATCCAGTTGTGTAGCTTGTTTGTAAAACATGTTTTCATTCAATATTTTATATTAAATACCGGAACTTAAGAAATGACATAGCATAATGTTAGCCGGACAGTGATAAAAAGGGAAAATTGAGAAACACATTTAAAAGTTCAAGGTCAATGAGTATTTTTTAAAGGCAGCATCCTGCTTTCCCGAGGAGCT